TGAGAAAATGCATCCGTGAGACGGGGCTGTAGACAACCCTGTAAGGCATTTTCTTAGTTAGTGCTTGATGGGGGATGGACCAGCCCATTGTTGGGGGTGCTATCCCTAGGCTGGTGGTCCTGGCTTCTATACCAAAGTAGGTTGAGCATGATGAACAAGCTAGGAAGCAGCAACCTTCAGCTGTGTCTCCATCAGCTCCTGCCTCCAGTTTCCTCCGGAATTTGACTTCCTGTCCTGGTTTTATTTAATGATAGACTACAATATGGAAGCGTAAGCCAAAAAAAACCCTTGCCTCCCCAACTTGCTTTTGGTCATGGTGTTTCATCACGGCAATAGAAATCCTAACTAAGACAGTGGGTTAACAAAAACCCACTTAAGATAGGACATCTCAAAGGAAGAGAGAATGAAGCACAGTAGCAGGCTAGGCAGACTGAAATGCTGAATACCATGTAACCAGTGCTTGGAGAAAACACCGGTCGAAGGATGACTCTGAAGACAAGAGCAGAGCCTTTGGAGGAGTGAGACCACGTCTTCACTCTTAGTGGTGCTACAACGTTTTAGTAAAAGAAAGATCATGTGACCCGTGCCACCCGTAGCTCATTTTTAGGTGACATGTGCTGCTTAAGAATAAAAGTATGCAGACGAAACGTTCTCTAAACGAATGGGAAATAAAATTTGATTTTAAGTTCTACTACTGATAAGTAATAGCTAGAATGCCTTTGGGGGAGGGGGCTTCTGTCTTCTTGATGAGAAAAAAAATGGTTTTAAAGATATTAGAAAGTTTTCTCCAGGTTTCCCTCCTTATGGAAAAGCTAAAAACAAGAACATTGCGCCATAAAAAGCTAGTGACATTTGGTTGGTTTTTATTCTCAGAGAAAGAGAAACGCCACCTGTTTATACATATAAAAAGTCAAAAGAATACCCTATAATCTCGTGACAGTCACAATGGCCCTTAAATGTCGTAGGAACTGCTAAGTTTCATAAGAAGCGACTTTCTACTATTATCTTCTGATGTCACTTCTTCCAAGCTTGGGGTCTCATAAGTTAGCAGAATGCTTGCTTATCGCTGAACATCTGTACATTCCTGTACTTGGATGCCATGTCCCCTTGCGACACATACTTCTACCAAGACCTTGGGTCAGCTAGGAGAGAGTCTCCCTAGCAGAACTGCTCCCCAAGCTCCCGAAATGCCTGTGCTCAGCAGCAGGGGACCACATGACTGCTTCCTTCCTTTGCTTGCTTGCTTTTCTGTCTATCTCTCCTCCCCTCCCTCTCTTCTTTTCTTTGTCTTTCCTCTCTCTCCCTTGTTTTCTTTCATTCATTCATCTTTTTATTTTTTATTTACTCTGCTCTCATATAATCCATCCTGACTTCGCCCCCTTCCCCCTCCTCCCAGCCCACTGCCCTAACAGTGCCGCCTTTGCACTTACAGATTTAAGTACATCTCACTCTTGTGTATATTTCAAGTCCCAAGTGAACTAAAAGATTTTTCTTTCTTACAAAGTACTGGAGCTTCATGTTCTTAATGTCAAAACTTAAAGTGAACTGGAAACAGACATGTGTTAAACTAAATGAAAGAACAGCTGGCTTTTAAAATGTTTTTAAAGTAATTGGTTTTAATCTCATAATTCTCTCCTCAAAAATCATTACTGTTAGAAACCAGGTCTGCCCCAGCCTGCCCTCAGCGACTCAGCACCAGGAAGCCATGTTATCACTAGACACAAAATGCGATCTGTTTTCACTGTCCTATGAGTTGCATGCCCTTTAAAGAGTCTACACTGTAGTATCCCACTCTCTGTCTCTGCTCTCTTCTCCCTCTCTCTTGTTCCCACTCCAAGGCAGTCTTTACCCCTTCTCCCAAAAAATCTCTAGCATAAGATCAGTTGTGTGGCATTGCTTGGCCCTTGACTCTTCTGCCATAAAACTCTAACAAATACCACCATCAATTGGTTTTACTTTGATATTTTATTACATATGTATGTATCTGTAAATAATCATACATGCCAAAATATGTAAGGTAGTTTTTGTAGCATAGTATTATGTAGTGTAAAATTGAATTAAAAAGAGAGAGATTTTCTAAGATTTCTAAGTTTATAAATAATTAATAATTGGAATATGATAAGAAACTAGCATATCACACACTGAAGCCTATAAGAAAAAGCATCATGTCAAAACTGTATTGGAATATTATGGTAGCACATATCTAACTATGGTTTTGTAAGCTTTCACAAGCTGAGTGTGCCAGGCAGATACACCTCAAATACATTGTAACTAGAGCTTTCTTAAATAAAACTTCTATTTCATTTAATTTTCTGAATAACTAAGTAAGACTTTTTTTTAGATTTTTAAAAATTTACTTATTTTTTTATTAATTACAGTTTATTCACTTTGTATCTCAGCTGTAGCCCCCTCCTTCATCACCTCCCAATCTCACCCTCGTACCCTCTTCTTCTCCTATGCCCCTCTCTCCCATTCCACTGATAGAGGAGGTCCTCCTCCCCTTCCTTCTGACCCTAGTCTATCAGGTCTCATCAGGCCTGGCTGCATTGTCTTCTTCTGTGGCCTGGCAAGGCTACTCCACCCTCAGGGGGAGGTGATTAAAGAGCCAGCCCCTGGGTTCATGTCAGTCCCTGTTCCCATTACTAGGGAACCCTCTTGGACACTGAGTTGCCATGGGCTACATCTGTTCAGGGGTTCCAGGTTATCTCCATGCATGGTCCTTGTTTAGAGTATCATTCTCAGAAGAGACTCCTGTCCCCAGATTTTTGGTTCTGTTACTCTCCTTATGGAGCTCCTGTCCTTTCCAGGTCTTTCTATCTCCCCCTTCATTCATAAGATTCCCTGCACTCTGCCCAAAGTTTGGCTATGAGTCTCAGCATATGTTTTGATACCCTGCTGGGTAGAGTCTTTCAGAGGCCCTCCATGATAGGCACCTGTCCTGTTCCCTATTTTCTCTCTCTTCTGGTGTCTATCCTTTTTTCTTTTTAATTGGGGATTGAGCATCTTACCCAGGGTCCTCCTTCTTGATTAGTTTCTTCAGGTGTACAGATTTTAGTATGATTATCCAATATTATATGTCTAATATCCACTTATAAGTGAGTATATGCCATATGTTTCTTTCTGCTTCTGGGATGCCTCACTCAGCATAATCTTCTCTAGTTCCCACCATTTCATGGTTTCATTGTTTTTAATTGCTGAGTAATATTCCATTGTGTAAATGTACCACAATTTTTGTATCCATTCCTCAACTGAGGGACATCTGGGTTGTTTCCAGCTTCTGGCTATTACAAATAAAGCTGCTATGAACATGGTTGAGCAAATGTCCTTTTATATACTTGAGCATCTTTTAGATATATGCCCAGGAGGGGTAAAGCTGGATCTTGAGGTAGCACTATTTATAATTGTCTGAGAAAGCAGCAGATTGATTTCCAAAGTGGTTGTACAAGTTTACATTCCCATCAGCAATGCTAAAACAATCCTCTACAATAAAAGTTCTTCTGGTGATATCTCCATCCCTGATCTTAAGCAGTACTATAGAGGAAGACTAATAAAAACTTCATGGTCCTCGCATAGAAACCGGCTGATGGATCAATGGAATCGAATAGAAGGCCTAGAAATAAACCACATACTTATGGACACCTGATTTTTGACAAAGATGCCAAAACCATACAATGAAAAAAAAGGCAGCATCTTCAACAAATGGTGCTGGTCTAACTGGATGTCTATATGTAGAAAAATGCAAATAGATACATACTTATCACCCTGTACAAAACTAAAGTCCAAGTGGATCAAAGACCTCAACATAAAACCAGACACATTAAATCGGTTAGAAAAAAAAGTGGGAAATACCCTAGAACTCATTGGCACAGGAGACAACTTCCTGAACAGAACACCAATAGCACAGGCTCTAAGATCAACAATCAATAAATGGAACCTCATGAAACTGAAAAACTTCTGTAGCAAAGGACACTCTCATCAGAACAAAACGACAACCTACAGACTGGGAAAGGATCTTCACCAACTCTATATCTGACAGAGGGCTAATATCCAGAATATATAAAGAACTCAAGAAGTTAAACAGTAACAAATGAAGTAATCCAATTTAAAAAATGTGGTATAGAGCTAAACAGAATTTTCTGTAGAGAAATATAGAATGGCAGAGAAACACTTAAAGAAATGCTCAACATCCTTAGCTATCAGGAAAATACAAATGAAAACGACCCTGAGATTTCACCTTACACCCATCAGAATGGCTAAGATGAAAAACTCAAGTGACAGCACATGCTGGAGAGGACATGGAGAAAGAGAGATATTAACATTATGCATTTCTTACAGACAGGAAAAACAAAAGTCTGCAAAGGGCAATTGGCTGTTGATCGGTCAATTGATTCTGTGGCTTGATCAATGCTCCTGACCACAGCATGTACCCATCTCTAGCTGCCAGTCCCAGGACCTACACCCACTCAAAGTCCACCAAAGCCTTACAAGCTTGTTTCCTTATCGACAGAATAGGAACCATAATCCTATATTCCAGAATTATTGAAATCTGGATGGAGAGTTTATGAATAAAGTGTCCCTCAAAACATGAGGGACACCAAGCTCAGAATGATGCTTGGTGATGGTGAGACAAGAAAAATAAATGCTGAAAACAAAGAAATATTTGCTTATTGTCCTTTGATCAAAGTTTCTATGAAAAATAATACACCCTTTTATAAATGTCTTCTGGTTTTACCTTGTTTAATACAAAACTATTATATGAAGGCCACAGTGAGCCAAACTTATACAGCCATGGGAAGGGTAAACAGAGCAAGCTGGAAGGGAAGGTAAGGCCGGAAATAAGGCCTTGGAATATGGCACTATCAAGCCCTGTCTTCCTATGGTCATGTACATGTATTAGTAAGCTGCAGAAACCTACAAGCGTGAAGGGCCACGCCACCAGGAGTCATGACTTGACGATGTGAGGAGGAAACGCGGCCCTCGCAGACCTGCAGACCACTCACCTCCAGGACGCGCGTGCCCTCCATCCGTGTGCAGCAGCATGGCGATTGGCATGCCCACGTTCTTGGATCTTCCCACCACGACCACATTCTTCCCAAAAGTTTCAATTCCTTAAAAAAAAAACAGTCTGTTTGAATGCGTGTCTAGCAACAAGAAGCAAGTTAAACACATGAAGAGCCAACTGAGGTATTCTTTTAAAACTTCTAATTTGGATTTCATGCCCTGACTGTGGCATGGCCCTCACTGGATTATTTATAAGTGTTTCTTCTAACGCCTCTTGGATTTGCCACGTCCTCTCTAATTATGTCCTCATTTCAAAGCCACAGAAATTCTCAAGTTGCCATTAAAGTCCTTTTCAATACTGAGTTTCACATGAAGTATACAGTCTTAAAATATATGAGCTGCTAATTAGCCTAGGGGTTCATAAAAATATTAAGTACAAACGGCGATCAGACTTCTGGGGAGGCTGGGGAGAGCACAGAGTGGAAGGGTCACACACTCTGACCTCACAGAGAGAAGTGCTATCCTTACTGAGTTAGCTCTGCCTTTTGCAGGCACCGTTTCTTCTCGCGTAAAATGAAAAAATTGGAAATGAGGCTGATCCAAGTACTGACGAGCAAGTGTGCAATTCTAGAATCTGCTTGCTCTTGGAGAGAATTAGAAATTGGCAGATTAGAAGGGAAAAGATGTTTCCAGAAAGGAAGTGACTGGTGGGAGCTGAAAAGCTGTCGATATGCAAAGCAACTGAGCCCCATGAATGTCCCCTCCAGCCTGTGAGAACACGATGTGTCTAGCATCGTCTAAGCCTACATGCTTTTATTAAAAACTATGGTCAATGGGTACAATTGACCATATAATTGACACATTATCTCAGTAAGAAAATGGTCTAATGTGGCCAAAATGCATAATTGAAAAGTAAGAAGACATGGCCACATTCGGAAGGTTCCCTCACTACCAGCTGCAGCTATAGTTGCTTATCAGCGGGTTCGTGTTCCTCGGCTTATTTCATTCTGTTCTGTTCTGTGATACTCATAAATGTGTAATGTTCTTATCGGCTCTAGTTTTATGCTTATCATTTTTGTCACTTGTAGACTAAAGTAGTTCTGTCCAGTCAAGGCCCCAGTGCTCATCTGCCGTTGATACCTGTTTCCCACAGACCCACATTACCAACCTGCTCGTTTTATTATTTCCCAAACAGCACTGGCAGTGGCAGGTATCAGAGAATGCTGATCAAGGCACAGTCTTCCAATATTGATAATATGAAATCCATCCACGTCTTTCTCTGGGGAAATTCCATTGCATATTGTTCTCTCATCCACGTGGTCTGAAAAAGTAAATACAACCGGTCTCCTTTAAAATTTATGTTTATGTGGAAGCCTGGAGAATGAAAAATGGGGACTTATAGCTAGATCATTCATGATTCAGCTCCAAGAGTCATAAAATTATTGTGTTTTTTTTTCTTGCCAACAGAGTAGTAACCCAAAATATACTTGACTAGTAGCTGTGATTGGCTACAGGCTATTAACGGCTCACAATGGCTGCACAGGTGAATTGTATAGAATTGGACAATTCCAAGGAAATGCAGCAACAAGTAGGGAGAAGTCTTTGCCTCAACATGCTTGCAGATTTAAGGGGTTTGGATCCACTTTTTTCCATTACAATAGACTTCTGTTAAAAATGTGAACAGCATAGATTAAGTGGGGTAAGAGAAAAAGCCACGGAAGACACCCAAATGTGGTGAATAAATTCTGTTAAGATCTCTGGCTAACGCGAAACAACAAATTGTTTACAGAGAAAACAAATTCCTAGGAGCTCGTGTGGAAAGGCTGAGAAGACTTTCCAAGAGGAAGCAGGGTTTCGGGTGCAAAGGACTTTCCAAGAGGGGTTACAGACATGGCACATCAAACGAGAAACAAAGCTGACTTGGCAGCCAGGTTCAGGAGTTCTCAGAAACCCTCAGAGAGGACATTTAATAGGGAAATGCTGACCTTTGCCCCTGAAGATCACAAGAGAAAGGTGTCCACTGTCACCATTTCTATTTATCCTTTGGTTAGAATTCCTAGTTTAAGATGATAAGGAGAGGAAAGAGACCCAGAAGTCACAAAGGAAGTAGCAAAACCACCCATAAGGGGCACAGTTGTTTATTCTGGATCTCTAAGGAATGTGTAAAGTAATGAAAAGAATTAACAAGGTCAATTCAGCAAGAACAGCAAGCACAGAGTTAGTACATGAAGACCAGGTGTATTTCTGCCCCACTGCAATCATCAGGAGATTAAATTAATTGTAAACTACTATTTCCAATATCTTACAAACAGCAAAATTCTTAGGAATGAACTTTTCTAAACTCGAGGGAAAGTTCTATAATAAAATCACAAAAGATTGCTGACAGTTGACAAAGGAAACACAAGTTATTCTCTGCCCGTAGGTTGGAAAACTCAGTAATAGGTCAGTTTTTCCAAAACGACTTATAAGGCTTTTGTTAGGTTCTGAAATATATTGGGAGATGTTCTGACATTTTTAAACACCTGGCACTACTATATTCTTTGATAACACTTTAAGATGAACTACTTCTTTCAAGCTTCAAAAAAGCAAAAATTCCAGGCAAAGCTTTATGCTAATGGAATAAAGTTCACATCCTTAGCATGGCCATATTCCTCCGAAGAAGTTGAAGAAAATCATGTTTTCTTAAGTCCTCAGTCTTTGAAGCACTATATATAGTGATTTCTGGCAAACATACAGTACCACCTTTGAAGCATACATTCTAGAAAAAAAAAGACTCAGAAAATTTTATTTTCCAAATAAAATTTCAACCCACAGTAGATAGAAAGAAATGTTGCTATGGGATCTCAGGAACAATAATTTAGACTCATCCTGTTCTTTAACTACCCTCTTCACATGGATTGTCTGGCCAGGCCTTTTTTTTTTTTCTAGATTAAACTAATAATACAGAAGACCAGAGACAAAGCCTATAAATACATATGTTTTAATTTTTTGATTAAATTATTATTTTTTTAATTTCTTGTGGGTTTTTTTTTTATCCACTCCCTCCTCCTCTTCCCTACAGCCTCTCTCCCACCTCCAATCCTGCTCCTCTCGTGTTCATGGCCTTTTTTACTTTAATTATTATTGTTACATACATGTTGAAGTGAGTAAGTATGTAAATGCAACCTGATGAATCCATTTAGTGTTGCACATATATATTTTAAAAACTTTTAAAGAAATATACACCACCCAAATAGCATTACGAGATGAATATGTTCAAAAACAAATGATAAGGAAAAGGCAAAGAGTGCGAAGAAAAGCAGAAAACTACTGGTGTTTTTGAAATTCTTGTACTTGTGGTTTTGAGGTTTTCTGTTTGTTTGTTTGTTTTTGTCTTTGTTTTGGTTTTGAGAAGTCGTCTCAAAACAAATTATGCCCGTGAACTTGGACAGCAAAACACCTTTTAGGATGGCTTGCACCTGGGCATGAATGGGAAGAGACATTCCTGGTTACAGAGACGAGCCGTTTCCTCCAACACATAAATTATCTCAGTGACTGTACTGTCACCATACTATAGTAACATGGTTTTAAAAGGTGCTTGCTGAATGCTGCCATCTAGTGGTACTACACTCCACTTACAAGACAGCTGTCTGCCTTTTTTTTTTTCCATAAAATTTGCCTACAAAGGTTTTAAAGAAGATAAAAAAAAAAAATGTGAGGATGGTATTATAAAAATCACATCAAAGAATTATTCAAAAAAAATCTTCTAGAAATATTGTTTTTTCTTTTAATGAATCTTAAATTGAATGAATAATTCACAGCTTATGACATAACAATTCATTGTTATTGACATTTTTTTAGTGTATTGTGTGTGAACATGTGTGCATGCATGAGTGTTTGTGTGTGTGTGTTTGTTGTTTGTATGTGTTCATGTGTGTGGAAGCCAGAGGTTAACAGAAGGGATCTCACTCCCCTTCTCTTTTGAACTGGAGTCTCCGTGAACAGGAGCATGTGGACAAGATAAGCTATTGAGCAAGCCACAGGGTCCCTCCTGCCTCTGCTCCCAGGGCTGGCGTTACAGGCACGCACCACCCCGCCCAGCTCTGTAGATGCGTGCCAGGGAACCAAGCTCAGGCTGTCACATTTGCACAGCAGATACTTAGCCAGCTGAGTCAGCCCTCTCATGACACAATGCTGATATCAATCCCCAAATACCCAAATCTCAGTGATTTCTTTTTCATAGTAACCTAGATATATCCAAACCTGCCACTGAAAACAAAAGCTATCGCCTTGACAATAACCTATGTTTATTCATATCACAAACTGCCTGCTAACCCATCCCCGCCCCTGCCCCAGTGTGTTTTCAGTTTCACCTGGTTCCTGTATCTGAAAACCCAAGTCTAAAAGATTTAACGGCGACAAACAACATCAGATTGATGTTTCTACGCAGGAAATAAGTCAGAATTTAACATTAATATTCTCTGGCAAGTCCTCCTTTATGCTGATTATTTTATTTAATTCTCAAAAACCTCTACAAAGCAGAGAGCTTCTTCTTTGCTTCAGATGGGGACGCTGAAACAGAGGGTGTTACATATTGGTGAAGGTCAGAGCCAAGGCTCAATCCCAGACACCTTCATTATGAAATCTACCTTCCCGACATCACTGTCTCTGAATAACTTAAAGGTGTAACACGAACACATTCACTTCAAACATTTACAATATCCACTCACTAGCTTATACTGACATCTTAGACCTGTATTAACTATAGCTAGCATATTAGCACGGGAGATCAGTCTGCCTGGATTCAGACTCATTTACGCAGAGGGAAGGAACTGAATCTCTGCGTTCTTGTCACCAAATACAAATAATGATAGTTGCACTCCCACAGGGTTATTGTGAGGACTCAAACTGAGGATTACACAATAAACATAAAATCTTCATACAACAAAGACTTAATTCGGTGGATTAAGTCTTTGTGCACTGGTATTTTGTGTACATATTATTGGCTTTGCATATAGACAAGAACCCTCTCTCAGAACACCCTCACATTTGCTGGGGTCCCCTTACCTGTTTCTTATTCCAGGAACACAGTATCCAAGCAGTTTGTCTGTAGAACAGATAGGTAACCAGTGCCATCTACTGGCCGTTAGTAACAAAGCCATCAAATAAATGTCACAAAGGCAACATGCAGATAGATACATGCTTGATTTTGTTAGGACAGATTAAATACAATGTAGTCAGAAATTCTGACAAAGGAAATAGAGTAGTTTGGAAAATAACTCTAAAACATTTTTAAATTATGAAAAAATATGTGTTTGTGGTATGTAATATGATACTCTGCCACAATGTATACTTTATGTAATGGCTAATGCAATCTAGTCAACACATCATATACTTCTTTTTGTGTGCTAAGAACATGTAAGCCCGCTTTTGTGGCAATACGTTATTCACTGTCTCATTATGTTGTACATTAGGTCTCTAGAAGTTATTTGTCACATCTAGCCAAAGTATTAAATCCTTTGGCCAGTATTTCATACACAAGCCCCTTGTGACCTCCATTCTGCAGTGTGTTTCTGTGGGTTTGAAATGTTTGTTTGTTTGTCTTTATGACACAGTGCCATGTAGTCCTGGCTGGCCTTGATCTCACTGTCTATCTAAGGTGTCCTGACCCTCCTGCCTCCAAATGCCAGGTATACCAGGCTTGGCCTAGTGTCAGACCCTCCATACCAGTGGGTTAGTTCAGTACATGTCTGGGTATGTGGTTTGCTTTACACACAGGTTCTTTACACATGCTCAGGAAGGTTGTTTCCCTGCTGTTCAGTTGTATGAATATGTCTGTGTTTTGAAGATTATCCTATGATCAGATGGACAGTTTACAAACATTCTGTCCAATTCCTCAGTGCTGTCTCTTCACTCTGCTGCTGACTTCTTTAGCGTAAATCAGTTTTTAAATTTGCTATCTTCCCACTATTTTAGCTTTGTTTAGGGTTGTCACATCCAAGAACTATTAACACACCAAATGTTAAGAAACAGTACCTTTGAGTGTTCCTTTCATAGTTTACAGTGTCATTTACATATTTAATATAATTTTAGTTGTTATATTAATTAATTTTGTATTAAAGAGTGACATAAGGGTCTAATTTCATTTTGAATATGTGGATCTGTTTCCTCCAATACCTTTTCTTGATAATAACATCTTTTTCTCCAGGTCTGTTCTTAGAAATTCTGACAGATACACTTGACCTTAAATGGGGTTCATTTGCCTCACTGATGTCATTGCCAGTACCATGTTGTTTTGACAACTGCAGTTCTGTAGTAGTTTCTGAGATCAGGTGGCTTGGCGCTACCACAGTTCTTCCTGTGTTCAGCCTTGCTTTGATTATCTGGGTCTTCTGTGGCTCTATATTAATGTTGGGATTATCTTTTGTTTCTTTGGGAAGTGCCATTGGAATCTGAGAAGGATTTCACTGAAATGGTAGATCTCTGCGGACACTGTGGGACTCTTAGAAGGAACACTGTAAATAGCTCATGAAACTATTTGAATACGGGGGGGGGGCTTTCAAAAGAGGTAAACTGTGAGTTGATGGCTTGTGAATTAAATTACAACCCCCACATTTTTTTTGCATAAGTTAAACAATTGTCAGTAAACTCCTATCATGTTTAAATCTCATTTCCTGTGGCATAAACTAAAAGTAGCCCACATATTCGGTTGTTTCCTAGTTTTGAAGGGAGGAAATGCATCGCTGCGTTAGCTTTGCCAGGATGTGTCTGCAGTGTTCCCTGTCAGAGCAGTTTTTTCATGGGAAACCTTGACAACATCTGAGATCCCTTACAATTTGGTAATGTATTAAGGCAGTGGTTCTCAACCTTCCAAATGCTGTGACTCTTTGATTCAGTTCCTCAAATTGTAGTGAGCCCAGCAGAAAACCATTTTGTTGCTACTTCATAATCAATTATGCTTCTGTTCTGAATCATAATGCAAATATCTAATATGCAGGATATTTGATATGACTTCCTGTGGAGGTCGGGATCCACCGACTGAAAACCACTGTTTTAAAGTGATGCTACCACAGAGAAAAAGTACTGGAAGTTTGAGATTTTAAACAGAATACATCTGCAGTATATATTGGGATGCTATGTCTTTGTATAGCACAATACATTAATGCAATAGATTAATTTAAATACTAACTTGTGTAGGAACATCATGAAGCTTTGCTTTTGTCACATCAGATGAGTTTATCTACTACACAATTTAAAACTGAACAGATGTTATACGCTACACTACACCAATAGTCTTGTAGAGTTTAGACATTCATGGGTTTCAGAACCATAGTTTAGTGAGATAAGATCAGCCCTCCAATAGCGTAGTTCAAATTTCATGTCTTGTGCTAAATCAGCTACGGTTATGTAAAAGCTGCTGGCTCTTAAGCTCACGAATCAGGTACCAGTTGAGTATGTTGATCAGTGGCCAATCCTGTATTACTTTCAAATACCTGGATTGGGCATTGAACGTTTCTTACTCAGTTCAAACACAGACGTAAAGTGTGTTCTCTCTATGTGTCACAGACTTATACCCACATTACATCATACAAATATAGAATAGGCCAAGGGGATTAGCTGATAAATATGAAAGGCGAAGAAACAAGATACGATAAAGCTGTGAATTGATCAGGCAAACAGTAAACAGCTAGGAGAGGCAGGAGAAACCTGCATGAAGCAAAGGTAGAAGTACGTTGTAAAACCCTGACACGCATGGTAGGAAGAAGTCACTTCAGCAGGATTCGACCTGAATATAAATGCAGGCACGCAACCCGACTGGAATAATAACTCTGCGTCCTGTGAGAAGCTATAGCTCTACATTGGGAAACTGAATGAAGGTTGAGGGGTAAGGGGTCAGGATGAAAAGCAAGGCAGAATCCCAAAGGAAGATACACCTGATAAAGCTTCACATTAAGGAGCTTTCGGCCATATCCATGATGTTGAATGTACAAACAAAAGATTAGCTGCTTAGAAAGGAATACGGCAAGCCAATTCATCAGGCCATTGAAAAGATGTTTGCTCCACATCTGTCCTACATCAATCACGTGACCACTATGCAAACCACCTCTAAACAAAACAAACAGAAATCAGATACCGTAAATCTTGTGTCTAATGTTTTAAAAGATAATATCATGAATAAATACTAGTTACACTGCTTCTATTTCACTGTTATCTTCAAATCACAATAAGATAGTATTTAATATCTGAACACTTTTTTAAGAGACTAAAAAAATGTTATTTTTTCCCACTCTTAGGATCGCTGCTGCGGCTGTACCACGCTGTACAGAGATATGTCTTGCCTGTGTCTAAATTTCCTATTCACGGTTTTTCATCTTGTAAGTATAAATCACTAAGAAACTGTTAGTTTTTCTGAAAATGTTTCATAAATTGCCTCCAACACCATGAGGTGTCCTTTCCCCTGCCCAACACGGATATGCAAAAGAGCATCGTGTACCTGGAAGTGGCAGCTGGACTAATATCCCACTGACTCTCGGGTCCATGTTCAGCTGGTCGGTGATATCCAAAAGTTCCTCCTGGGAAACATTCTTGGGCTTTAGAATGAGCTCACTGCAGATACCTGGAAGAGAACCCAACAGCGAAAGTCCTTGAATACCCATGGCTTCGTATTAAGAGTTTTCTCCATGGTATGATGGTCTCCTCTGTTCCCGGCCCACCGGAAGGAAAGCCCTTCTACAAAATCAGTGTCATAATCAAAAGGAAGAGGGATTTCTCTGTCAGTACGGGGATTCTCTCCTGACTCCAATGATCATCTGCCTACTACTCCAGGAGACACTCATTTGTAAAATCCCCTGTTAGTCGACTTGAAGAGGCAAAGTGAGACAGGAAATCAGTGAGGATTTATGATTCAATTAAAGTGAATGTAATAAAAACAGGCTCTTTAAATACAGAGTCCCTCTGTCTCACCCACAAACCAGGAAATCACACTGAAAATAAAAAAGTTCTATAAAAAACCTGAAAACAGTAAGACATTCATATAAGCCTTGTTAATTGGATAATCTTCAATAGTAATAACAATCTCAGTTATTTGAATGGGGCCCATTGGATCATTATGGCTGGTGATTATGTAACTCTATGTGACAACAGAAACATTCGGTAACAGTTAGCGCTGACACACACACACCCACCTACGGCAGAAGCAGCTTTTATCTTGTTCCTGACATAGGTGTGGCTTGCTGGGTTGTCTCCGACTAAAAGGATACTGAGGTGAGGCCTCCTGTTCCCAAGAGCAATCCACGATTCCACACCTTGCTGTATCTCTTTCTGGATTTGTCTGGCCATTTCGGTGCCCGAGATGATAATGGCTTCATGGCTGTGGGAAACAAAACACTAAGTATAATACTAAAAAGCCAGTAAGCAACACTCAGCTGAGTAAATGTATGGCACAGGAGTGTTCAAAACAACCATGGTGGCTGGCAAGATGGCTCAGTGGTTAAGACCGCCTGTTGCTCTTGCAAGAGGAAGGACCAACCAGGTTCGATCCCCAGCACCCACACGGTAGCTCACACTGACTGTAACTCCAGTTCCAGAGGATCACTGGCCTTCTAGCCTGCACATGCAGAGTATAGGGCCAGGCATGCAGGCAAAGACACACAAAAGAAAAGTAAATATTCAAACTGCAATGAGCAACATTTGACTTCTCTTACTACATCCGACACTCATTCTCAGGTTCGTAAATATTGATGATTTTTGTGAAGGATTATCATTCTTTCGTACTTCTATCTTATCACCTGCTTCCTCTAGGCCAAATGTGTTTATACCACCCCAAATTCTAAGCCGCTGTCTTCTGATATTAGAAGGGGGAGCCTCGGAGAGGCGTTTAGTGTGGGGTTCTCTACAAAGACCACAGCCAGCAGAAAACAAAGGAGTTTGGTTCAGCACAACTCAGTAGCCATGTTAATTCAAATTCTGAGAGCCTGACCCTGGGGAGTTTATTTTAGGCATTTGTAAGTACAGTGAAGTTTGGGGGGAAAAATTTGCTGGTGATAATTAACTCAATAATTTACTCAATCTAGAATGTAGAAAAGCTTAAGACATGATTATATTGAAACCCTTTTTAAAGTACATGTAATCTCTTTCATAAACATGAATTCTATAGACTGACTAGATGTGACATATGAAGGGTCTTGGGGAGGATCTGATATCGCCTCAATCACTCAGATAATGTAAGGGTCACTAGGCTATTAACCACCTCCACCCCCATTTGTAAAGTATGTATGCTATCTTCCATAAAGATGGGTCTATTGGTTGAGAAACAATGCTCAAGATAAGGGTCTACAGAGGATGACTGGGATAAACGTAAGAGTTTGGAGAAGCCAGATATACCCAAGCCATAGAGATAGTGCAGAGGTCACCAGGCTACTAACCACACCCACTCCAAGACTTATAGGCAGAAAGCAGGTCATGTCTCGCTCTCTTTTTTTTTAACTTTAAAAAAAAATTATATTTTTATAAATTAAGGTTTATTCACTTTGTATCCCAGCTGTAGCCCCCTCCCTCATCCCCTCCCAATCCTACCCTCCCTCATCTCTTCCCATGCCCCTCCCCAAGTCCACTGATAGGGAAGGTCCTCCTCCCCTTTCCTCTGACCCTATCCTATCAGATCTCATCAGGACTGGCTGCATTGTCTTCCTCTGTGGTCTGTTCCCTCCTGGGGGATCGGGAGGTGATCAAAGAACCAGCCACTGAGTTCATGTCAGAGACAGTCCCTGTTCCCCTTACTAGGGAACTTCCCCCCTTGAATACTGAGCTGCCATGAGCTACTACTTTAAAAGGAACAACCCTGCATGTTTAACATTTCTGTTTTCCCTAGTGCTAGTCTGTGAATTCAAGGACCTCATGTCCTTTATAGATCTGGCCACAGGGTAGACCCTTTATAAATGAGGGTAGTGCCCTTTTAAAACACCCCCAAAGGCTCCCATTCCCCTCATGTTTGCACACAGCAGAAAGAGTGCTTCCTGGCTGACACAATGGAGAGAAAAGACAGCTCATTTGCAGTTTTGGTGTTTATTTTTATATATTCTAGGTATTAGTCTTATATCTGAGGAGTAGTTGGGTTTTTCCCATTCTGTAAGTTGCCTCTTCACTCTTGTTATTGCTTCCTGGCTATGCAGAAGAGTTTCAGTTTCACATAGCACTTATCAGTGTGGCGTATTATTCTCATTGCCCTTGAGGCCTTTCTGAAACATTCTGGCCTGTCTCTATATCTTTTATTTTTAAGTCCGTTTTTTTTATACTTTTTTTTTGAGAATTTCACACATAAGTACTATATTTACATCATTTGCACCCCACTCTCTGCCCACTCTAACTCCTCTCATGCTCCCCCACTCCCTATCAAATTCACAACCTGCTCTTTAATTACTATTGCTACCTTTATATGTGTGTATATATAAATGCAGCCTACTGAGTCTATTCAGTGTGGCATGTTTAGGACTGACCACTTGAGACTGGGTAACCTGTCAGGGGCTCATCCCTGGAGAAGACATTCTGTCCTTCTCTTAGCAGCCTTTATGTAGAGCTGGAGCCTCATGAGATTCCTTGTCCACAATGGCATGTCAACTGTGGTCACCCTGAAAGTCTTATTTACCACATGATGGGTGTTACAACAAAAAACAGAAAATGTGAAAAAGGATCATAGTGAGGGGAGCTGTGAAAAGGCGCACAGTATAGCACGGAATCTACAAAGGGGGAGATGGGAAAAACAGGAGGGCTCTTAGCTGGGGAGCAGAGAGGAAGGCTAAAGAGAGGGAAAGAGAGGGAGGGGATAAAGAGCATTAGGGATGACTGTTTTCTGTTTAATTGAAAATATATACTATATAAGAGCATATACATGCATTATGTAAATAATTTAAATGAAGTTACACTACTTGGGGTGATAATCTCCCCCAATACCTCCAAGCCATACACTGTCTAACAAAAACCCTAGCACCAGTGTGTGAAGCCTCCCTTGGAACTGTTGATCAGGGAAGTTCAAGAGACTCCAAAAACAATACAGGCTATCTCTGTTGCCCAGTGTTGTCTTTTAGAAGTTGAAGGTAAGAGCTTGTTGAAGTTACTCCAAACACAGAGCTTAGAGGAGTTGGGTTTGGACTGATGTGGGAGCCTCCCGCCTCTGCCTCTTAAAGTTTCATGTGCATTTCCCTCCAGCAGTTTCAGCGTTTCTGGTCTCACCCTGAGCTCTTTGATTATTTTCTTAATTAATTTTTGTGCTGGATGAGAAATGTGGACCTGGTTTCATTCTTCTACAAGGAAAAATCTAGTTTTCCAGTACCTATTGTTAAAGAAGCCATCCCGTCACCACTGTTTGCTTTTTATTCTTTTGTCGAAAAATTAGATGGTAGTAATTGCATAAGCTGTGTCTTCTACTTTATTCTCCTGTTTTGTGTATCTGTTTTTGTGCCTGTGCTCCACTGTTCTTGTCACTATGACTCTGTAGTATAATTTGAGATGAGGTATTGTGAGACCACCAGCATTGCCCTTTTGTAATAGAATTGCTTTTGCTGTTTAGGGTCTTGTGCTTTCCTATAGACTTCCTATGACTTTGTAGCTCAATGAAGACTGGCATTAAGATATCGAAGGGTATTTTGATTTTGGCTGATATAACTGTTTTCACAACATTAATTTGGCTAATCCATGAGTCTGGGAAAATTTTCCACCTTCCAATGTCTTCGAATTCTTTCTTCAATGTTTCAACTTTTCATTTGGAGATTGTAAACTTCCTTGGTTCAGTTTATTTTGGAGTTTGTTTTTTATTTTTTAAGTTACTATGAATGTGGTTTTCTGCTTTCTGTTTTTGGCAAGTTTACTACTGTTATGTAGAAAAGCTACTGATTTTTCAATATTTATTTTGTACTCTATTAGTTTGCTACAAGTATTTTCAGTCCTAATAGTTTTGGGTGGAACTTTTAGAGTCTTTTAAGTATAAAATGAAACCTGCAAATAGGGATAATTTGATTTCTTCCTTCCCTACTTATGTCCCTTCTATCTCTTTATAGCATTGCCCTCGCTAAGATTTGGAAGGCTATACTGAGTGAGACTTGAAAGAGTAAACACTTGTCTCATAATGCATTTTAGAAGACTACAGGTTTCTTCCACATTCAGTACATTGCCTATGGTTTTGCATTGTATACTCTTTGCTTCATTAAGATAGGTTCTTTCTATTTCTATTGCATTCATAGCTTTATCATGGATGGAAACTGAAATATATAAAATAGTTTTCCTACATTAATTAAAGCATAAGTTTCCACCTTAAGGATATGAATACAGTCTTACACGTAATATTATACATATTGATTTGCATATAGTGAGCAAACTTGCTTCCCTGGAATAAAACCTGTTTGGGCTTGATGTAATTTTAATGTGTTCTTGAATTCATCTTACCTGAATTTTATTGGGAAAGTTTGTGTCTTTGTGCATAAAGGATGCTGATCTACAGTTTTCTTCTTCATGTTATTGTGTCTTTGTGCAAGTTTGGCTTTGTGGGTGAATTTGGTTGTGTTCTTTCCCTTTTTGTTTTATGTAACAGTTCAGGAAAACATTGGCTTTAGCTCTGCATTTAAAGGTTTGGTAGAACTCTGCAGTGAATTTGCCTGATCCTGCGCTTTTGCTGGGAGACTTTTTATTACTGCTCCAATGTCATTCGTTATTATGGTTCTGCTTAATGTTTGTTTCTCTTTGATTTAATTTTGGTAGGCCATGGACATTTAGGAATCAATAAATTTCTTCTGCATGATCCAGTTGTTTGGAATATAAATTTTGAAAGTATTCTCTAATGATACAACTCTTGAGATATCTTTAAATCTATTGCAGTTTTCCTCTTTCCTCTCCAGTTTTATTAAGTTGGGTCTTCTTTCTTGCTTTGTTAATTTGGCTAAGGGGTTTTCATTCATTCACTGTCCATTTTATTATTGTTTCTTGACAGTTACTGTTTTGGGGGGTTGGATTGCTTTTTTAAGATCTTCAGTCCTTCCTCTGTTGCTCATTTTTGCTGATAATTTCATGAGGAGTTCCTTTGAATGTGATGTCTTTCTTGTTTTCAAATTCTTTTATTTCTTTAAATCTGTCCTGGGTAACTGTCTATGTGTGGGTCTTTGGTCTTCCTGTATTTCTTTCCACATTTGGGAAGGTTCTTGTTATTTTTTTAAGGTTTAATTTCCTGTTCTGAGATTTTTTTTTCACAATTTGTGCATGTATATATTTGTATGTAATTTGTATATATAATTTATATGTATATAACGTATTTGTATATAATTTTCATAATTTTCTTCACTTGGGGATGTCCTGTTAGTCCCATAAGGATTATTTTTCTTTTGT